GCGGGGCGGGCCGGGCGGTGGCGGCAGCGCGCGATGCTCCCTCTGCGAGGGCCGACACGGAAAGGGGCCGAGCGACGCGAGCGCCGCCGCCTCACCCCGCCGCCCCCGCCGCCCTCACGGCCCCCGCGCCGCCTCCCATTGGCTGACACCGCCCGGTGCCGCCACCTCATTGGCCCGCCCGCCGCGCTCCTCCCGCGCCGCCGCCGCTGATTGGCTGCCCGCGCGCACGTCCCGCCCCCGCCCCGCGGTGATTGGGTGGAAGCGCTGTTGCCACGCCTCGCTCGGCTTTTCCCGCTCCGGCCCGGAGACTCCCCGGCGCGCCGCTGATTGGTTGGTGGCGCGGAGGGCCCGCCCCTCGCTCGGCGCTCATTGGCCGAGCGCGCGGGGGGACGGTCCCCATTGGCGGGAGCGGCCGTCGCTCAGTGCGGGCCGCCGGCGGGCCCAGCGCAGCTCGGCGAGCGCGGCGCGGCGGGCGCAGAGCGGGGCGGCGGCGACTCCCGGCGGCGGCGAGGAGGGGCCGCCTGCCCGCCGGCCCCAAGGTGCGGCCGGAGCAGCGCATGCGCCAATCGCGGTGGGCTTTGGGGAGGGGGGAAAGGCGGGCGGACGCATGCGCGGAGCGCGGCCGGCGGCGCCTGCGCGCTGCGGGCGGTTTTGGCGGGCGGAGCGCGGAGCGGCGGCAGCTCGGAGGGGCGGCCAAACCGCGGCGAACGGGCCCGCGCCGGAGCCGCTCTCCGCGCAGGTAGCGGCGGCGGCGGCGGGCGGCGGATGAATGGGCGGCAGCGCGGGGGCGGGTCCGGCACTCTGACGGGCAGGCGCGGAGGCCAATGGCGGCGGAAGGGAGGCGGGGCCACGTGGGGAGCGGCGGGCGCGGTATTTAACTGCAGCGAACGGGAGGCGGGGCGTGGCGCTGATTGACGGGCGCGGTGACCAATAGCAGCGGAGCGCAGGCGGGGCGGCGCTTGGAGCGACGGCTTCACCGCCCAATGGCGGCGCGGCTGGGCTGTGGCGAGCGGCGGGGCGCTCAGCCAATCAGCGCGCGGGCGCGCGGCCGTTCTGACCAATCGCGAGCCGGGGCGCGCTTCAGGCCCCGCCTCCAGGCCCGGGCACCGAGCCCCCCTTCCGCGCTTTGAACCCCAAACTGCGGCTTTTTACCCCAAAACTGCGGGTTTTGCCCTCAAACCGCCGCGTTTCGCCTCAAACCGGCGCTTTCCCGCCTCACGCCGGCGGGTTTTCCCTCAGAACTGCGGTTTTTAGCCCTCGGCGGGGCCGTTTGGGCCTGAGCGCGGCGCGTTCCCTTTGTTCCCTCAGGATTCCCGGGCGCGGGATCCGGGATGCGGCGCCCCGGGGGCTCGGCCTTTCCTTTCCCTTCCCTTCCTTTCCTTTTCCCTTCCTTTTCTCTTCCCTTCCCGGCTGATCCGGCCCCTCTCCCCTCAGGAATCCACCCTCAGCCTTTCCCTTCCCGCCCAAATCCCGCGCCGGGAAATCCCGCCGGGAATCCGGCAGGAAATTCCACGCCGGGAGCGAGGAATTCCTCGCTGGCGTTTAGGGCTGGGTTTAAAAAGGGAGAAATCCGCTAAAATCGAGGCTTAAGGGCTGGGGGGAAAAGCCCGAATTGGGGTTTTCTTAAAACATCGGCGTTTTAATCCCCCCATTTTTAAGGGGTTTAGCCCAAATTCCGCTTCCCTGTTCCCAAACCCCCCCTCAATTTTAGGGGATTTATCCCAACTTACATTTCGCTCTGCCTAAATCCTTAGGGTTTTTTTAGGGGTTTTTAGCCCAAATTGTGTTTCTTTGTGCCTAAATCCCCTTTTCTAGGTTTTTAGGAATCGGCTCCTCCTGTACTCCCCTCCTTGGGGGTCCCAAAATGACCCCAAATCCTTCCTTGGGGGGTCCCAAAATGACCCCAGATCTCACTTTGGGGGTCCCCAGATGTCCCCAAATCCCCCTTGTGTGTCCCTGGGTGTCCCCAGCTCATCCCAATGCCCCCTTTAGGGGAGCTCCAGGAGCCTCAAATCTCATTTTGGGGGGTCCTGAGATGACCCCAAATGGCCCCTGAGCTGTGCCCTGCCCCATGGTGACATTCCCTGTCCCTGTCACTGTCCCCTGGTGACATTCCCGGTCCCATGGTGACATTCCCGGTCCCTGTCACTGTCCCCTGGTGACATTCCCTGTCCCATGGTGACATTCCCGGTCCCATGGTGACATTCCCTGTCCCATGGTGACATTCCCTGTCCCTGTCACTGTCCCCTGGTGACATTCCCTGTCCCATGGTGACATTCCCGGTCCCATGGTGACATTCCCTGTCCCTGTCCCTGTCGGTGTCCCATGGTGACATTCCCTGCCCCATGGTGACATTCCCTGTCCCTGTCACTGTCCCATGGTGACATTCCGTGTCCCTGTCGGTGTCCCCAGAGCGGTGGCTGCGCTATGGGCAGGAGGAGCCGTTCCCGGTCCCATGGTGACATTCCCTGTCCCATGGTGACATTCCCGGTCACTGTCCCTGTCCCTGTCCCTGTCGGTGTCCCATGGTGACATTCCCAGTCCCATGGTGACATTCCGTGCCCCATGGTGACATTCCCGGTCACTGTCCCTGTCCCTGTCGGTGTCCCCAGAGCGGTGGCTGCGCTATGGGCAGGAGGAGCCGTTCCCGGTCCCATGGTGACATTCCCAGTCCCGTGGTGACATTCCCTGTCCCTGTCCCTGTCGGTGTCCCATGGTGACATTCCCAGTCCCATGGTGACATTCCCGGTCACTGTCCCTGTCCCTGTCGGTGTCCCCAGAGCGGTGGCTGCGCTATGGGCAGGAGGAGCCGGCGGGCAGCCGACAGCTCGTCCTCGGGGGAGGAGGAGGAGTATGTGGTGGAGAAGGTTCTGGATCGGCGCGTGGTGAGGGGCCAGGCCGAGTACCTGCTCAAGTGGAAAGGCTTCTCCGAGTGAGTGACACTGGGGACA